ATTCGCCTCTCATTGCGTATCTCCTATATTTCTATAATTATTTTTTATTTAAACTTTTTTCCCAGGACAGTATATCCTGAGTTTAGGATATAGTATACCTTTCAAAAGTTATCTAAAAAATGATCCAATTCGAGCTTTCAGAGTTCCTCGACGCCCCCGCCCTTTTTCGGCCAGAGGCCGAAAAAGAAAATATACCAGGCCAGGTAATTCGCTATTCGGGCGAAAAATACTTGACCGGCATTCCAACTCGAGACGATATAGTTGCGGAAAATGATGAGGGATTAACCGCAGTCCTTGAAGATGCTCTATCCAATTGCCAAGAAATACCATTCATGGCCGTCGACATTGAAGGATCAAGTCAAAAGATAAATGAAAAGTACTGCTACGTATTACGTCTTTATGGCTCTCTCATTAATGGCCAGAAAACAGTAGTAACACTTTTCGGTATTCGGGTATTCTTTGATATTCGTGTACCAGATGGGGAGTCTCCAGATGAATGCGAAATAAAAGTAAGAGATATTCTATCTGGCAACAAGGTGGAGACTTTAAAAATAGAGCATATCAAAGCTTTCCCTTTTCGTGGCTATCATACGGAAAAAAAGACATATTTACGAATTTATACGAGTGGGACTAGTAAAAGAAAGATGGCTATGCAAGCCATTCAAGATAATAATTACGAAACTGCATCGGATGACATGTACTCGTTTCATCGTAAAGTAGCAAGAGAGAATGGAATCCAACTCTCTGGGTGGTCTATGCTAAGCAAATATAGATATAAGAGAGGGAGTGATCCTCTCTACCCGTACGTATTCTATACTTCTAAAAAAGATTTTCGGCCAGTGGAAGACCTTACAATAATAAGCGACCGATTCCCTATTTCAGCTCTCTTACGGGATCGTACTCTTGTCCTTACATGGGATATAGAAACGCAATCACAAGAGTTAGGCAAATTCGCTGAAGTCCTCGATCTGAATGATAATGCCTTTATGATTTGTATGACACTGCATTGGAAAGATGATCCAAAACCACTAAAGCAAATATGTCTTGTCGATGTTGAGACAGAACCAGATCCGGGATGGACCACAATCATATGTGGAAACCAAGAAAATCTGCTGAAAGCATTCGCCATCTGCTGGCGAGCATTTGCCCCTGACATCCACGTTGGGTTTAATGATTCCGATTATGATTGGTGGTTTATAATGGAAAGGGCCTATCATCTCAACATGCTCGAATGGATGTGGGAGCGAATGACAGGAAAGTTTGAAACAAAAGAGGATATTCTAAAGTGGAAATATCGTGGAAAGATAGGAGCGAAATCTGAAAATGTTTTCAAGAGGAAAGGAAAGAATACCGACGAAGAGGGAACCGTATGGGGGTCGGGTGAGGAAGTTGAGGAAGTAAAAGAATATTTGGGAGGTCCAATTAAGATCAAAATCACTGCGGAAGAGGATTTTTATTCTAGTTTTCTTAAACTCCCAGGGTGTGTACCAATAGATGTCCGAGTATGCCTCAAAAAATATTTCCCTAAGGCTGAAGTAGAAAAGGGAGGTTCACTCAAATTCTTCTTAAAAAAGTGCGGTCTTGACACTAAAGCTGACATGCCATATGATGTAATGTGGAGGATCTATTCAGAGGCAAAACAAGATCCTTCTCCTTCAATTACAAGAAAAATGCGTGAAGTAGCTAACTATTGCATTATAGACGCATTACGTTGCCAGGAGCTTTTGGTAAAGCTAAGTCAAATAAATGATTACAGAGAAGTCGCTTCCATAGCTCATGTATCTCTGTTCGACTCACACTACCGCGCTAACGGAATGAAGGTACGAAACCTTCTGGGCGCTTATGCTTTTAAACGGGATATGCTATTTAGCACAAGAGTATGTGAAAATATAGAAAAGGGGAAATATCCCGGCGCATACGTATTTCCACCTAAAAAAGGGATTGAAACGAAAAGACCTGTAACGGGATTGGACTTTGCCTCATTATATCCTAGTCTCATCATGACTTACAATCTCTCTCCAGATAAAATAATACTAACACATGGTGAGGCCAAAATTGCAGAAAAAAATAGAAATATTTTACATAAGATTGAGTTTTCATTTAATAACCGCACCATCCAAGCTTGGAGTGTAAGACATGATAATCAATTCGAAAAGAAAGGCTTATATCCTGTTGTATTAGAGGATTTATACAACAAAAGAGTAGAGCTTAAAGCACATCTTACCGCAATAAGAAAGAAAAAACTACAACTTGGAAAGATAATAAGTTCAGCTAAAAAGAGAGGCAAAAAGATTCCAGAGAGCTTAAATTCGGAATATTCGGCCGTATGCTTCGATTATGCATTGACTGATTCGAAGCAAAGAGCTCTGAAGGTATATATGAACACTTTTTATGGGGAAGCTGGAAACTCTCTATCTCCTATCTTTCTTCGTGAATTAGCTGGAGGAACTACTTCGGCGGGAAAATACAATCTTAGTCTTGTTGCAGAATTTGTAACAAAGAAAGGGTTTGGGATAAAATACGGCGATACCGATTCTTTGTATCTCACCTGCCCAGAAAAGTATTACGGAAAATGTGATGAAGCCTTCTCCAGGAAAGAACTTTCTAAGGAAGCATACTGGACTGAAATGGTTGAAATAACTATGAATGTAATGAAAGGCTTGTGTGATCAAGTAAATGCTTATCTTAGGATAAAAAGTGGCACATCTTGTCTTAAGATGGCATACGAAGAGGTATTATTTCCCGTCTGCTTCGCCGGCAAGAAAAAATATTTCGGTGTACCACATGAAGAGGTGGTCAATTTTAGGCCAGATAATCTCTTTATGAGAGGAATTGATACTGTGAAGCAAGGGAATTCTGAGCTTTTTAGATTTATTGGAGAAAAGATTATGTGGGAGGCTATGGATATAAATAATACCCGCTCAATTCACGAAATTGTTAAAGATGTTCTCCGAGATGCTAGATTTAGGCAGTGGGATTTTAACCAGTTTGTTGCAATGTCTAAATGGAAGGCTAAAGGAGGCCTCGCATGCAATAAAATCTTTATGGAACGGATGAGAGAAAGAATAGCAAGCGGGGAAAAAAATATAAAGATCCCTGACTCTGGCGAGCACTTTAGCTATGTTGTAGTGAACAATAGTCCCCGCTATAAAGAAGATGGCACGAAATCAACAAGGAAGGGTGATTATATGGAGTTCGCAAATATTGCGAAAGAGTTTAATATGGAGATAGATATCAGGTACTATTTAGAACAAACTGTAGGGATGTGTGCACGCTTCATTAATGAAGATAATAGTTTTCAACCATCCCTATCAGATAAAATAATGCAGAATAAAGATTCGGACAAAAGAGAAAAGGAGATCAATGATTATTCCTAGAAAAAAGCAAAAAACTGGCTTATAAGATATATCAAGAGCCTTTAATAAACTTTCTAGGTATTTCAATTATTCGTCCGAAGCAGATATAAACGATATTATCGAATTATATGGTTAAGAACTCTTAGCGGAATGTGGCAATTTCAGCTAAGTACTTAGTCATAAGACACTTCACATAATATTATTTACATATTTTTTCTTCCTTCAGTCGTGCAATAATACCAGCTAACTTCAATTTCTATATTCGAACTTCTGGCCTAGAACAATCACTCCAAACTTCCGGCCTCTGATCATACAGCCCAGCTTCAGAAATGCCCGGAGATGATAAAAAATGGTTCCAGTTAGGAGAATACTCAGTATTACTTTTTTTCCACAAATTCCATATACTTCTCCCGACCATGAACCATATAATTGCAAGAATTAGTAAGGTGAGTATGATATATATTAACATTGGTGATATTAAGGAGCTCGCAATAATAGGAGCAGTTGCTGGTAAAGATACCGCTTCTACGCCACCTAATTGCTCTGCAACCCTTCACTCAAAATATACTTTTCAGAATGTGCTGGTCGATTATGAACAGATTGATTGGGTAGAGTATCTGTCTGGCTTTTCGAAACTATCTCATCTCGGGGTAATAGCTCTTGTAAAGCCTCTAATACATTTTCCCTAGCAAAACTTTTATCGAATTTCATAACTTTATTTTTAAGACTGAGCTCATAGATGAGAGGTCTTAAATCGTCACTGACCCAACCTGGAAGCTTTTGCGATGAATCGTTCATAGGCGGAGGTGGGGGGTAGAAAGCTCTGCTATTTTATTATCTTTTTTTGAGATATTCTCTTAAAGACGAGAATTTTCCTCCATTGAATTTAATCACGCTGAAGACAAAGCATTTATTTCCCTTTTGAATATGTTATTTGATGACTCTATCCCTTTTTCCATACATTCTAATTCGTATTTTTTTGAAGACAAATCATTCCTTGCCTGTTCTAATTCAAGTCTAAGGAAATCCATCTCAGATAAGTTCATTTGAGCTAAGGAAGAATTCTTTTCAAATGCTTTCAACTTGGATTGGAGGGTTTTTATCTCTTTTGATTTTGTAGCGAGTTTGTCCTTAGAATCTGCAAGAGAAATATCTTTGCGAGTAATCTGAAAAT